GGATGTTTTAAGCAAGTTACATAAATATTTAATCGAATTCGTTGACCCGTCTATTTCAACCTTATCTTTGGGTTTAACATTTTAAGTATTAATGTATATCTTATATCATGATATTCTACCAAATTTTATTTAATATATATTAGATGTAAAAACAGATTATTAAAATTATTATATATATATATACAGCTTTGAATAATAACAATCAATATATGCACCGACATTAAATATAATAACAATAAAATTAATAATAGAATTCAGAATTTTCAACGACATGGAATAACAATAAATATCACAAAATACTAAGAAAGACGTGCAGAAAAAGCATAGTAAATTGAACAAATATACTTACATCAGTATTTTTTCGATGTGTTTTATTCTCTGAATTTTGAAACTTATATGAGTTGGAGAAGATGATAAAAATCCACAACTATATATATATATGTATGATTCTCTTTCAAATTAGCGTGCATAAAATAAGGAATAGTTGTTTTTTAAATTGAAAAAAAAAATGCCACATGTTTTAATAATTAGAAAATTTGTTATAGATATATCAGTGCAAATTTGTTATAGATATATCAGTGCAGATTGTGAAACGCGTGATTCCTAATTAATTATACGTGTGAACAGATTTTATTTGCAGTAATAGATATATCAGTGCAGATTGGAAAACGTGTGATCAGATTTTAATTGAAAAGATTTTATTTGCAGTAATAGATATATCCGTGCAGATTGGAAAACGTGTGAACAGATTTTAACTGAAAACGTGTGAAAATTTATCTGTACGGTTTTAAATATTAAATAGGAAACGCGAGGAAAAAAGAAAAATCCGGATTTCATTCCATGAATTATGCAATGCCTGAACAGATTATCGGTTAAGAAAAAAAAAAGAAAAAAGATGATAAAAATCCACAACTATATATATAGGGCGTTACAACCTATCCTCCTTAAAATATTTCCGTACTCGGAAATACAAAACTAAGGTGCTAGGCCAGAACTCCTACTACAATACTATGCACAGAACATAAAATAAAAGTATATATATATATATATATATATATATATATATATATATATAGGATTCTCTTTCAAATTAGCATGCATAAAATAAGAAATAGTTGTTTTTTAAATTGCAAAAAATATGGCACATGTTTTAATAATTAGAAAATTTGTTATAGATATATCAGTGCAAATTTGTTATAGATATATCAGTGCAGATTGTGAAACACGTGATTCCTAATTAATCATATGTGTGAACAAATTTTGCAGTAATAGATATATCAGTGCAGATTGAGAACGCCTGAACAGATTTTAACTAAAAACGCTTGAATATTTATCTGTGCGGTTTCAAATATTAAATAGGAAACGCGAGGAAAAAAGAAAAATCCAGATTTCATTCCATGAATTATGCAATGTCTGAACAGGTTATCGGTTAATTCAATATTGTAGTTGGAGATTGAATACACCTGGCCTTCGTTCAGTCTACCTCGAAATGCTGTCATATTCGGATAACGTATTATGCATTTAATGAATGCACCCTACGATACAAATTCATAAATATTAATTAAAATAATTTCTCAAATTATATAAAATTAAAATAACAAAGGTAAATATTACCTGTTCATCATGAAACAGTATATGGAATGCATTCCAGCTCTCCCGTTCGTGATGTGTTTCAATAATGCGGACTGCTCTCAAAGGCAAGAAAAAGGTTTGAATACAATGTCTGAATTATGCAATGTCTATTAAATTCAATATTGTAGTTGGAGATTGAATACACCTGGCCTTCGTTCAGTCTACCTCGAAATGCTGTCATATTCGGATAACGTATTATGCATTTAATGAATGCGCCCTACGATACAAATTCATAAATATTAATTAAAATAATTTCTCAAATTATATAAAATTGAAATAACAAAGGTAAATATTGCCTTGCATTTAATGAATGCACCCTACGATACAAATTCATAAATATTAATTAAAATAATTTCTCAAATTATATAAAATTGAAATAACAAAGGTAAATATTACCTGTTCATCATGAAACAGTATATGGAATGCATTCCAGCTCTCCCGTTCGTGATGTGTTTCAATAATGCGGACTTGCTCTCAAACGCAAAAAAGGTTTGTTTCTTCTGTTAACGGAATCAAGCCCCAGCCTGGAAGCATTATATTGTTGATGTGAAGAATTGTTCTCTTTATATTTTTTTTTTCTCTCAACTGAGTTGTAATGGTGGGAGCGAATATCCTTTTATACAATTTTTTTTTTTTCTGCACGTTTGAATTGACCGAAAAAAAAATGGAAGATATTGTTTTATTCACCAAAAGTGATTGAAGATAATTATGGATTGTATTTGGATAGATATTAAATTCCATGATTTTTGGGAATTATATGTAGATATCTTATCACGTTAAGGGTATATCCATTGCTAAAAAAAGGGAATATCTAATGCCTTAATTAACAGAATTATCAATTTCGTATTCCATAATCCTTATCACAATTGTTTTTCAAAATTTGATTGAGATTACATAAATAGAAAGTCAAAAGTCAACTCAATTTATTTTAGGTTTCTAAAAATGATTTTTACATCAACCTTTTTAGATATATATAGATTCCCCCAATATGAAATCATTTTGGATATGCCACTGCAATTAGTTTTTTAATGAAACTTACATTGATTTTTTTACAATTCCAATTACAGTTTTGCCAACGGTTGAAGTACGACCCGAGAAAAAAAATTAACGAAAATTCACACAATAATAATTAATGGTAATTAGAATAATTAAATCCAGTAAAACTCAAATATAATTTAATTTGATATTTGTTGGAATTGTCAATAAAAATTTCCAATGAAAGTTATACCAATGAAATATTCGTAAGAATTTTGAGCGGAATATCTACCTACAGGTTTTTCATTGCAATATAGCAATTTTTTTTGTATTATTTCTTAAAAAAACGATTTTTTATGTAGTAGTAAGTAAATAATAAATAAAATATCATAATATATTTTAGTTAATTATTGAATGAAAAAGTTTAACTATATTAAGTGTTAATAATTAAAATATTATTCACCTTGATATTTGAATGATCAGGTGAAAATTCATTAACTTTGTTGACTTTGTGACCAAAATTTAAAAAGAAAAAAAACAAACAAACAAATGACGATTTTTCTGGGATCAAAATCCAATCCAATAAAATAAAGGTTCAATTTCTAAAATCCGATGGTTATCAGTATATTACTAATTTACCATTAAAAATAAGTCAAAATAAGGGATTTTTAGGTAGTTCATTTGTTAATTAAAAATATAAGATAAGATGGGTATTTGTGTATTACTAATTTGCCATTAAAAATATGTCAAAGTAAGAGTTTTTTAGGAAGTTCATATTTTTACAAAATCACTCGTTCTTTTATAATAAAAATAAATAGATAGATTATTTTTATTGGCAATATATAAAAACCATAACTCAATTAATATTTTGCTAGTCAAATCTTCTTAAATTACTCATGTTATTTTCTCGTTTATAATGACATAATTTTTGTATATTTTTTTCACTCGATCTATCTATAGTTATAGTTATTTGAACGATTTTATTTTATTTTCTCGTTGAAATATTACTTTTATTTTTAATTTTGTTAATAAGCATATGGTACTCAGTCTCATTTAACATAAAATTTCAATAATTTAGCTTTATAGTTTGAAACATTAAAAAATAAATCTTTTGGTGAATTATAATTGATTTTTCACTTATGGAATGTAAAGTTTTAAAATATGTATATTGAAAAGATTTTTTTGGGCTAAAAGCACATTTGATGTTCAGTATATTGTGCAAAATAATGTAAAGTGAATCACAAAAGATGAATTAATATTAAATTTAAAACTGAATACTTAAATATCATCTCAAAATCACGATATATGGATGTATATATTTATTCCAATCACCAATATTGACATTGAAATAATTAATTAATGTCTTTTAAAATCAAAGATACTATATATTATGACAAATAAAAAAAATACAAACTATATTTTAGTTTGTCAAAACTTGTTATTGAATAATAATTCTTTAATAATATATTATTTCATATAAGGTAAGTTAGTTATGTATTGTCTTATTTTTAATTTAAAATTTTATTTTATATTTTTACATTAAGTCAGTATGAGCATTTCAATCTAATTTATAGAGTTCATCATGATAGTCTCATGCATCTTTTGAGCTTGCTATTCAGGAGAAAGATCTCTATTAAAAAAATGATACGTTTTATAATAGAGAAAGATCTCTATTAGAAAGATCTCTATTAAAAAATGCTCATTAACCTTTAATTTTGATGTTCATTAGCTCTTTCTATTTTGGCATTTCCGTTTGACATTTTTTAGCGGCTACCAATGGGATAAGTGGGTTATTTTATGTCATATGTTCACTTAGATAAAACATAAATTATTATAGAACAAAAGATGACTAATGTATATTATATGGACGGAGCCTTTTTGACGTCCATTTGCAATTAGGGAGATATTTCTTCTTTGAATGTCGTGATTAGAGTCCAAAATTAATAAAATTTCTACTAATTCAACTACTTAATTTGATTACAGTTTTACCATTAAAAATATATCATATACAAGGACTTTTTAGTCCGTTTAAATTTTTACAAAATCACTCAGTCATTTTATAATAGTATAGATAGATAGATAGATAGATAGATAGATATAGATATAGATAGATAGATAGATAAATAGATAGATAGATAGATATAGATTTCGAAAGCCTAATATAAGTATTTTTAGACTTTAGTTTTACTTTAGTTTTCCTAGAGTTCAATTAGTGCTTTATTAAAAAGCACTACATTTGGATTCCTAGCTAGAGTTCCTATTTGTGTTGCAACTGGGCAAGTTCCTTGTTTTCTTTAATTCTCCAAGTAGGTTTAGGACATGAAATTGGCAAGCTTGCTCACTGAAGCCATTTTGAGTTGAAAACACAAAGGCACCGTGAAATATTTTCACTGATGCATCTTGTAGTTTTAGGGGATGATCCAGAAGTCAAACAAGGGAAACCTTCATCCGATGTCTTCATTGCAGCTGCCAAAAGATTTGAGGTTAATTAAAAATAATAATAANAGATATAAATAAAAGGAGAAGGAAAGAATATTTTGGAGCAGAAAATGTTGGAGTCACTAAACTGTTGTTCGATTTCAATCAACGCTAGTCGATTATAAAAGAATGACGACATGTGATTTTATATTTTTTTTTCGCCAATGAAAATGTTTATTTATTTATTTGTTTTTTTCATCGTGCCTTGATTAAATTTGGGACTCTTGATACTTTTCTATAAACTGATTCACACGAGATAATTCAAGTTTGCTCGTTTATTAGAAATCAAGAAGTTGTCTACGCAGGTAAAATGATTTATTGTTCGTTTTGCAGGGTGGACCAGTTGATCCACAAAAGATACTGGTTTTCGAAGATACGCCATCTGGCGTATTGGTAGCTAAGAATGCAGGCATGTAAGTTCTTGTTCTTTGCAAGAAAAATTTTCAACTTACTATCATAAAGAAAATCAGCAAATGAAATCGCATTATTCTCTAGAAAGGTCCATGCAAATTAAATAAAAATAAATAAAAATCATTTCTTCCAAAATCCATGGTAATTCTTACCGAATTTCACCTTGCAGGTCAGTGGCAATGGTTGGAGATCCGAGGTTGGACAATTCATACCATCAAACTGCTGATAAGGTTATAAGCTCTCTCTTGGATTTCAACCCGAGCGAGCGGGGCCTACCCCCTTTCGAAAAATCTGCAGCTTAATTTCACATTCGATCAAAAAAAAAAAAAAGTTGGATAGTTATATGATTCTTGAGAACGAATTCCGACATTTTCTTTGGACTTGCCTGATATTATGGCTCGATAGCACGGTATCGTAAATAACGCTAGGCAGATGAGCAAAATATGTAGAATTATTTTAATTTTTATTTTTTTTATTGTTGGTTGTTTTCCTGAGAATGTGAAGATTGGATTTTGCATGATATTGCAAATGTATGTATGCTGGATAGAGCCTTTTGATGGATTTATTTGAGCTTTAAGAATATATATTGGTGCATAGAAATTCTTTCCAACCAAGTTGTTGCGAACACAACTTTGTTTAGCCTGACTTAAACGAGCTAAGCTCGGACAGCTAATCGAGCTCTCGTTATTTATGCTAAAATTATAGGAAATCATGTAAATAAATTTCTTTTGTTAAGCCTAACAATCGAGCCTTAAATGAGCTCGGCTTGTTAACTTAACCGGGTATGCCTCTTGAATTTCTCCGGCCAACTTTTTTTTGTTATGTGGACGTTAAGAAGAATGGTTTTGTCCAGATTTTACGGATCTAGAAATTAATTATTAGTACAATGAGTTAAATATGTAGGAAATATTAAGTTTAAGTAGCTCAAATTTTCTACACTCGAGAGTCAGAGTTAGGATTCACATGCTTACAGTTAATGTGAAAATTTAATAGGACTATTTCGTCTTAATGATAACGTGTTTTACATGCCTTGACTTTAATTAGTTTTCGTTCCTTTTCTCCTCATTTTTCAAGCAATGTTCTTAAATTCACATACCACTCAGATAACATATACATGCATGATGAGTTGTTAACTTTGTGCTACAATTATATATTGAAGTGATTTTTTTACTAGCTTGGTCTCAATTTTAGTTGGTTTAGTTTGTCCTTTAGAGCTTCAAACCGTAAAACATGTGTATACTCAGGTTGAGTTTGTCGTTTAGATCTTCAAGCCCAAAAAACGTCTACTTGGTCGAATTTTTCGTTTAGATCTTCAAGCCAAAAACGATAATGATTGAGCCTAACCTTGTTAACTGCTCCGTTAACAAACTTTCGTTAGACATACGTTTGAACCGAGAGAACCACATTAGAGCTACAGATGTAAGGTTGTGTTTATGTCTCTCAAAAATTATAAAACTAGTTTTCAAGCATGAATTAATAAATAAAAGCAGCAGGATTAACCGGGGGCGTGATTTGTTCTGACCAATTCATTTCACCAGTGATGTATATATGCAATTCGTTACATCCCCTGTTTTGTGTTTCATTTGTTCTTCAGCTCATCATTTAGTATTCTTAGAACTATTCAGCATCTGACAAAGTATGCTTTTTTTTATCTCATGAATGGTTTTTTAAGTGGGTAATAAATCGTCCCAAATGCATTAACAATCCGCTCTATATCTCTGGTGACTCGTACTCGGCATTACTGTTCCTCTTGTTGTGAACGAAGTGTATCATGATGGTACATTAATCCCTACTTTCTCAAAAGTTTGGGGCATATAAGTATTAAAATTTTCAAAACCGATATTGATAAATAAAAATATCATTGAGTATTCTTGTTTCTTGATAGGTATTGAAGCAGGGGACAAGCCCCCGATGATCTGTATCGGGCAAATACAGTACTGCCTTATCACCAAGCTTTCATGAACAAGCGTTATCGAGTTTTAGTTTACAGGTAAAAAAGTTTCTACATTCTTGTTCCTTTTCTTTCCTCATGCATCTGACGTGGATTTTTTTTTCTTCGAATTTTCGTTTAATCTTCAAAAAACACTCATATAATAACTAATCAAATTTTCTTTAATACGTACCCATGAATAACCGGAGCCACACATAAGAAAAATAATTTTATTTATTGGCTAAGAACCATTGAGATTAACTAATGACATTGTGTGTTTTGAAATAGCAAAATATAGTTTTTCCATGTGCAGAGTTATTGATTATAAGGTCATTGTGGGCCAAGATGTCAGGGTCACTTTTAATGGTCCCAACTATTGTGCAATAATGGTTTTCTTGTACCTACTCAACTCAAAAGTCACAGATCTAATTATCAAATTCACACACATTCATCTGAGTCAGTCTAATTCAGTTTCTTTTTCACCTGAGAAAACTATTGCTTGCTGCTTTCAGTTCTCATCTCACAGTTCTTCTTATTAGCTATTGATTTCACCAAGCAGGGGATCCATGGCAGCTTATGGAGCTCTGATGTCTCTTACCACCACCATACACCAAATCCAGAATCACCCTCACCCACCCATCTCCCTCCACAAAATAAAAATCGAACCTCTGATAGAAAAAGTTGATTTCTTGCAAGATTTTCTTGAAAACTATACCATTGATGATGATGCAGATGATTTGGAGGGGCGTATGGTCGATGTGGCTAACAAAGCAGAAGATATAATTGAGTCCCACATTGCATATCATATTTGGGATGAATATGAAGACCCTTTGTATCAATACATGCAGAAAATGATGGAGGAACCAGAGGAGGCAGAGGAGTCCCAAATTGCCCATCATATCGAGGAGGAGGTTCGTGGTGAAGCTAACAAAGACGACAAAGACTCTTGTTTGTATGGAGAGCTGCAGAAAGTGATTCACGACTTGGATTCCATCACAAAAGACGTGGCTGCTGCTATTGAAGGCAAGGCTCGGAAAAAAATTGCTCCCAAGGATGACGCCACCAAATATGATGTCATGAACATGGCCAACAAACCTTATTCGGGGGGCTCCAATGATGTCATGAACGACGTCATGAGTAAGCTTACCGATCGACAATCCAGTCGTTGGATCATCGCAATTGCCGGCATGGGGGGCATCGGTAAGACCACTCTTGCCCAAAATATTTATGAATGTCGTGTAATTGTGGAACACTTTGATATACGAGGATGGAGTACAATTTCTCAAGAATTTAATTCCAAAAGAATCCTGTTGGAAGTCCTTGACTGTTTGAAAAACAAAGGAAGTGAGGAGAGCGAATATGAAGAATTAGGACAAAAATTATATCAGAGCTTATTCGGCAGGCGGTATCTGATTGTGATGGATGACATTTGGGGTACGGACGCGTGGGAAGAGGTGAAGCGCTTCTTTCCGATTAGTAACGACAATGAAGGGAGCAGAGTACTAATAACAACTAGGTCATCGGAAGTTGCTTTGGAACTGGATGGCCAAGACTACTTTCAAATGCCTTTTCTTAAGGTGGACGAAAGTTGGAATCTACTACGAAGGTGCGTGTTTGGGGAACAAGGGTGCCCTCCTCCAGAACTCGAAGAGATTGGGAAGAACATTGCCACCAACTGCAGAGGCCTTCCATTGTCGATTGTCGTGATTGGAGGACTCCTAGCAAAGTCTGAAAAAACATGGGAAAACTGGCAACGGGTTTTAGAAAATGTAAGCTCGATCGTGAATTTAGAGAATGACGAGTGTTGCTTAAGAATACTAAAGTTGAGCTACAATCAACTGCCGGTCCACCTGAAGCCGTGTTTTCTGTACATGGGCATGTACCCGGAGGACCATAAGATTGAGGTCTCCATACTCATGGATCTATGGGTTAATGAAGGATTCGTGGAACCGGTTGCTGGTGAAAGCTTGGAAACAATTGCGGAAGTAGTGTACCTAAATGATCTCGTCCTCAGAAACCTAGTCGTGGTTCATGAGTTGGATGGTAGGTGGGGCTGCAGCATCCACGATCTATTGAGGGACCTATGCATAAAGGAAGCCGAGAAATATAAATTCTTCCGCACAACACAAAACTACCCTGACCACGACCAAAGTTGGTGTGCCCAACGCCGTATCAGCACTCAGCAAGTCGAATCAGAGAAGAAATACACCCGTTCTCTAGTAAAAGTTTTCGCAAGCCCACTCCCTGAAGCTGTGCAATCCGCATCACGTGCGCGAACTCTGATATCGGACTTTGATCAAACTGTTCCATCTTTTGTTCCTTTTAGATTATTGAGGGTTCTGCATGGATACATAAAAGGAGGAGAACTTTTTCATATGGTCAACTTGCGCCTCCTGAGCTTCAAACTTACTACACGGCAGGAGCTTGAATTTCCTCCGGAGTTTTACCTACTCTGGAATTTACGGACGTTACGTATATATCATGTATATCGTAGGGGCGGTTACGCTGCGGTGCTGGACATCTGGCGGATGCCCCAACTCAAGCACGTCATGATATACGGCAGGTTCCAGCTCACGGAGCCGAAAGAAGTCGAAAATGGTTGTTGGATGGTGTTGGAGAATCTAGAGACGCTGACGAGAGTACTTAACTTCAAGTGCAATGAGGAAATGGTTGAGAGAATCCCCAATATCAAGAATCTGGGAATACAATACGATGAATTATTATCGGGGGCTGATTATGATCTCGACAATCTCTGCCGACTACATAAGCTGGTGTCTCTTGATTTCAATATTTATTCGAGGAAAAGTGAGGTGATGATGAGGATCACATTTCCGGTTACGCTCAGGTGGCTGACTCTTCACGGCACGAGGCTGGGGTGGGAGGAGATGGGGCCAAAGGTAGGCTCCTTGCCACATCTCGAGGCCCTCACGCTAAATCCTGATGCGTTCGTGGGGCCCGAATGGAAAACAGCCGAGGGCGAATTTCAAAGCCTGAGATACTTGCTAATTAACAGGTGCTCTGATCTGGAAAAGTGGAGGGTGGAAGCCACAGACTTCCCGTGCCTCGAGCGGCTCAAAATAGCGTATCTAGATAAGCTGGATGAGTTCCCATTGGGAATTGGGAATATAAACACGCTTAGGGAGATCGAGGTGGTTGATTGTTCAGACTTTGCCGTGCTTTCTGCAAAGAAGATATTAGAGGAACAACTGGAGTGCCTTGGGGAAGTGGATCTTCAGATTACAGTTGTGCTACTTGAAAACCAACTACCCAACTTGACGAGTGGTCAGAACTTTACAATTAAACAGACTCGTTTCTATTATGGTACGTAGCTGATCACATGTCCTTCATGCTCACATGTCATTTCTGTTATGTTAGTTATATTATGAGGTGTTTAAGTGTGGTTTATATTCTTTGCTACTAAAGCGTTGCACGCTTTTTTCCTTTTGTTAGTTATAATTCCCTCACAAACTAATCAACCATGTATGTTTTTTTCTTTTCCTTACATTTACGTTCTATCTTGAAAAGTGCATATGTTTCAATAACTTGAGTTTAGCTATTAACATATTTTTTCTTAATTTGGTTCTTACAGTGGGCAAACCACGCAGCACCGGAGTTCAAGCCTGAAGAATACTTTGCGATGATCAACAGGTGGTTTGAGAAACCCACTTTAGAATCACCTCTTTTGGAGCATATATTACCTTTTGCAGCATATATTAATGTTTCGAAATATTTATGTATTTAAACGAACACAAATTATTGTGTGAAGTACTCTAATTCATTATTGTTTCGATATATTTATGTATTTAAACGAATATAAATTATTGTGTGAAGTACGCTAATTCATTATTGTATCGATATATTTATGTATTTAAACGAACATAAATTATTGTGTGAAGTACTCTAATTCGAGCCAACATATATTTGTGACAAAAATGTATATTTATATTATGAAATGACATACTTTTTATTATGTTTGTTGTTATAATATAATATTTCAATTTGAAAGTATAGAAAAAAAAAAATTAAAGGTCTATTTAACAGTAGTTTACAAATATGTATCTGGTCAGTTTGATATACCAACTCTTTCACTAATATTTTAATGAGGTAGTATGGTTACCAACATAAGTAGAGACATATTTGTGATTTGTTAATTAATTGCAAATTGCAATATGTTTGTTTTGTTTTGTTTTGGATACTACTTCTAGTTCTAAGTACTACACATGTGATGCGCATCGAGCAAACTGGCCAGTCGGGCGCCAACATCAGTTTCACGTGTGACATGAAAGTGCAAGGCGGGAGTGGTTAATTTTAGTTGTGTTAGTTAAGCATTTAGATAGGATTATTATGTTAGTTATAATTTAAATTTTTGAATATAATGGTTAGTTAGGATAATTTGAATATTTGAATGTTGTTTTTGTGTATTATAAATAGGACCTTTGTATGCATGTTTGAGGAATGAAGTTTTATGAAATAAAGTTAAAGAAAAAAGTTCGTTTTCGAGTATTGTACATCTTTGTGAAAAACCGAGGCCGATAATGCAGGTTTTTCACTTACTAATAAAGTGCACGTGCGATGCACGTAATGATGAATGTTTTGCCAATTAAGTTTAGTAAAATAAATTAATTAATTTATTAAGAATATCATTGCAAGAATGAAATAAAACGTAGAACAAATGAGCTCATAATGTAATTGTTTTTGCCGATTAAGTTTGTAAAATAAATAAATTAATTCATTAAATATATCATTGCAATAATGAAACAAAATGTAGAACAAATTGTTTTCTCCAAAATAACTTAACGATGTCCTAATATAAAAAGAATTAAATAACACATTACAATCCCAACAAAAACACTAAATAACTAAATAATGACTAAAATATATTATACATGCATTAGTTCTTTTATTTGTTTATCTTAAATGATTTAATAGCGATCTCTTTCATTTTGGTTTTGACGTCCTCATAAGAAGCATTGCTGATTCAATTGTATTGCAAAATTCATCTTAATTTATTTGGCAAAACGTCTACTTTATTCAAACACTTAAAAAATATTCTAGTCAAACATATAGTGAAACTTCATGGTTGTATCATCTTTATATTTCTACTAACAATGCATGAATATCTCTGCAAAATACCCAATCTGTGTCATTTAAATTGTTGATTATTTTTTATCATTGTATAGACTACTATATTACTCTCTCTCTCTCTATATACACAAATTGATACCTACCCATGGATGTATCGCCCTACGGAGGGGAATGAATTTCATCTCTAAATAAAAGTTAACTTTTCAAAATCTCTATTACATGTAATTTTCCCGAGATTAGTTTTTGAAATCATCACATATTACCTAAAAACAAATTAAGAAATTTAATGGTAAAAATTAACTAATTTTTTAACTAAAAAATTATGACTAAAATACCGATTTCTAAGACAAAAAAATAAATATATTTTTTTATAAATGTGCGTCTCAAGTATATTTTACATTTATCATTCGCTAGCTCCAATTGATATATGACATTTATTAATTTTATCGTTTTTTTTTTTGTTTTTTTACTTTTGAGTGGAACGTCAGTTATAAGCTTTCTCGTTGTGTAGTTTTACCTTTTTATTACGTAGAACATCATTTTTACATTTTGTTTAGTATTAACATTACCTTTTCAGTAGAACATCATTCTGACCTCTTCTTTAATTATTCTAATACAAATAAAATATTTAAGGACTTTTCAACTTATATGTATTTTTTTTAATTACTAATTATCATAAATTAAGTAATAATTACATTAATTATGTTATATTTTGTATCATTATCAACAATTTTCAAAACAATTAACTACACACAATATTATATACAGAGCAAATTTTTTAGTTTGATTTGGAGTCATACTTTTACTACAAATAAATGATGAAATTCCAACGAAAACATATTACAGCGAAATTTCAACAACAACTAAATTTTCGTTTAAATTTTTCAATGAAAATTATAACAAAAATATTTTGTTGCAATCATGTGCAGATCCATGTTTGTCAAATAGTCCCGAAACTGACATCATCCCAAAACAAATAGCATAAGATATCTAACAAACATTATGGCACATTTTTCATAATTTTAATCATGTCCTCTATTTAGAAAATAAAATTAAAAGAATAAAGACAAATAATGATTAATTTACAACTCAACCAATCATAATTTAATTCAACTCATAACGTTATTAAAGTTATAGCATCAATGCGATTTCCCAACTAAAGAAAATATGATATTAAAGTTTACAATTTTACACTCTATTTCTCTCTTTTCTTTTTATTCTTGATGATACCTTATTATCTCTCTTTTGAGACAACATTTTTATCTAATAGAAAATATATTTTAAGTCTTTTTTAAATGTATGTAGAATTCTAGTTATATATTCGTAATTTATACATTCATCAATTATATAGTCGAGCCAACTATACTACAACATAAAATTTTTGTTCATAAAAAAGATTTTGAAAAATGTATTATTTTTTATGATTTTCTTATGTCGAATTGCGAAAAAATATGCTTTTTTTTTTTTTAATATTATTGAACTTATTGTGATTGTATTGATGTGTTAAAAAAAGTAATACATATGAGAAAGTTGACAAATTATGAAAAGTATACTTTATAAATTATAATGACATTATGTTGTTTTGATGCAATACTTTTTGTATTAATTAGATAGTGCTCTTAACATGAAATTATTTTGGATTCGCCACTGCAGCTAGTTTTTCATTGGAACTTTCATTGTTTTTCCCAATTTCAGTGACAATTTTTATAATGGTTGAAATATGGCCGAAAAAGAAATCCAACGTAAATTCACACAAAAATAAATATTAGTAATTGAGATATTAAATCCACAAAAATTTCAATGTAATTTAATTTACTCACCATTGGAATAGCCAGTGAATCTTTTCAATAGAAGCTATACCAATGAAATATCTGTTGGTATTTTCTGTGGAATACCTAAACAACATCGATTTTAAATATTTTACTAATATTTATTAATAAACTTGTACAATTAAATAAATATTGTTGAAACAGTTATCTTATTTGATAGGATACTTACGGTTAAATAAACTCTTAAATTTTATTGAGAAAATCATAAAAGTATTTAAGAATCTTGAATAATATCAATAAATAAAATATTTTATTTATAAAATTTTGAATTATAATCTTTTATAGAGCGCTCAACTTGATAATTAATTGTTCAAATAAAATAAGAATAATAATAATTAAAATGTCACGAACGTTTTTATTAATAATTGAATGAAAAATTTCAAATATTTTAAGTCTTAATAATTAAAAAATTACGCAACTTGATTTTAATCACCTAATGGTCACGTGAAGATTCGTTAACTCTATTAGCTTTGCGACCAAAATTTGAAAATACAAACCACTAAACAATGACGATTTTTGTGGGATCAAAATTCTATTCAATAAAACTAAGGTGCAATCTAATTCTAGTTCTAAATACAAGAGTTTATTTTTCTTAAATAATGACCTAGTTAAATGAATTCTTCCATTATTCTAGTTTGTTAGATTATGAATATATTTCACGTGTGCATGATTTCGGTAATATTTTAGGTATCTTCTCTTAATTAAAGTTATGTATGTATCTTGGAAATTATTTAGTTTAAATAAATTTTTTGTTTAAATAAATTTTATATATTAAAATCATTAAATATGATTACGATTTTATCATCAAAAGTATATTAAAAATAAGTACGTTATTCAAAACAAAAATTCAATATCATTTCAAAACTGTATTGTTTGGGTTACTGTTGAGTTGATTTTTTAGAGATATGGAAGAAAACTGTTTGGGAGATATGTGGAAGAAACCAAATTTTTTAAGAATAATGGTGTGAATATTGTGGATGATTTTTAAGAGATGTGGAATGTTTTGTTCATTTAATTGAATTAAATGAATAAAATATTAAATGAATATTAGTGTATTACTACTAATTTGACAGTAAAAATATGTCAAATAAAAGGCTTTTTAGGTAAATATTAGTTATTAATAAAAAAAATATAAGATGGGATATGTATTATGTTATTACTAATTTGCCATTTAAAATATACCAAAGTAAGGGTATATTAGTTAGTTCTTTCTTTTACAAAAATACTCGTCCTTTTTTAGTAGTATTCTGAGTTACCATTTTAGTTACCACAACATTTAGACATAGAATATAATAAAATATTTGGACTAAATATTGTATAAGATAATTTTGTAGATATATTGTTTACAAGAACCAATTTGTTTTGGTGAACTTCTGTGGAAGAGTTATTTTTTTTTTTCAACAGCTACTTAGCTAAGAGATCATAACAATTTCTTCAAAGACCACCTCAATCTCCATCACTTTTAGTAAAATTTAGAATTATTTGAGTCATACTTTGGGCGTGGATCATAATAGTCTTCAATGTTACGCTGTTATTTATTTAATTAAATATTAGTGATTAACTAAAAAATATAAGATTTGAAGAGTATTAGTGTATTAATAATTTGACATTAAAATTAAGTCAAAGTAAGAGTTTTTTAGGTAGTTCATTTGTTAATTAAAAATATAAAATAAGATGGGTATTACTGTATTACTAATTTGCCATTAAAAATATGTCAAAGTAAGGGTTTTTTAGGCAGATCATCATTTGTTAATTAAAAATATAAAATAAGACAGGTATTACTGAATTACTAATTTGCCATTAAATATATGTCAAAGTAATGGTTTTTTAGACAAATCATTATTTTTACAAAATCACTCTTCCTTTTATAATAGTATAGATAGATAGATAGATTTCGAAAGCCTGATATAAGTATTTTTAGACTTTAGTTTTACTTTAGTTTAGTTTTCCTAGAGTTCAATTAGTGCTTTATTAAAAAACACTACATTTGGATTGCTGCTAATTTCCATTTCCCATCATATCGTTGGATTACAGGGGCCAGCCGTTTAATTCAGCACCTCCATGCGAATGGAGTTCCTATTTGTGTTGCAACTGGGGAAGTTCCTTGGTTTCTTTAATTCTCGAAATTGGTAAAATATCAATCTGACACATTTGGCAAGCTTGCTCACTGATCTTTTTTTACCTTGTTGCAGTTCACACAAAAGCCATTTTGAGTTGAAAACACAAAGGCACCGTAAAATATGCATCATGTAGTTTTAGGGGATGATCCACAAGTCAAACAAGGGAAACCTTCATCCGATGTCTTCATTGCAGCTGCCAAAAGATTTGAGGCTAATTACTTATTATGAACACTAAATAAATGCACAAAGATAGGCTCCTTGCCATCTCTCGAGGTCCTCACGCTATATGATAATGCGTTCGTGGGGCCCGAATGGGAAATAACCGAGGGTGGATTCCGAAGGCTGAGATACTTGAATATTAGAAGTTGCTCTGATCTGGAACAGCGGAGGGTGGAGGCCACAGACTTCCTGTGCCTCGAGCAGCTCAAAATAGCGGAATGGAGGATATAAACACGCTTAGGGAGATCACAGTGGATCTTCATATTAAAGTTTCGCTACATGAAAATTAAACCCAACTACAAAACTTGAGAAGTAGTCGGAATGTTACAGTTTATATGCAAAAACAACTATGACTCTCTTGTTTAATGCCATTACATAAGAAATGATAAGAGAAAATTGTGTTTTAGCCAATATGGGCACGATTTTAGTAGAAGATTGTCTCGTGAGATGACAAAGACTAAAATAGGGAAGAATGTCATTCAATATATGATTATTTATAATTTTGTATGTGGCTAAAGACACTTCAACGTTTTATTTTAATATTCGTGTATGCATACGTACTCTGTAAGAAGATTACCAACTTGATCTCATTAATTCTACTTCTTCAACAGATATCTATATATGTGTTTCAACCTTTGATTCTGTTTTTGTGGATTTGACTTGCTGGGCTACTCAAAACAATTTTCTCTTACAACTTTGAAAGGGCATGCAGTTTCTTTGTTCTTCACATCCTTCTCTCGACTTCATTATCATTATCATTTCCCTGCAAATGGAAATTGGATTATTTAGTACGTACGTATTTTATGTAAATAATGAATCATATGAAAAACAGCACATGTGTATTATGTAAATAATAAATAATATGAAAACCGCACTTTATTTAATTACGTATTCTATCTCTTCTTATACCTTCCCTATTTAGTAACTATGTTGGCTACGTGAATTCTCACATTAATGGGGTCCCAATAATCCGAGTGGGCTCGGCTGAGAGCTAGGATCGATGCACATGTTTATAGTTACTGTGAATTTAATGGGGTAATTTCTGTCTTAATGAAAACCTGTTTTACGTGCCTCGACTTTAATTAGATTCCGTTGGTTTCCTTCTCACTTTTCAAGCAATGTTCTTAAATTCACCTACCCACCCAAATAACATATACACATGCTCGACGAATTGTAAATTTTGTGCTACAATTTTTGACTAGCTTAGTATCAGATTTAGTTGGTTGAGTTTGTCCTTTAGAGCTTCAAACCGAAAAACATGCGTATACTCGGTTGAGTTTGTTGTTTAGATTTTCCAGCCCAAAAACACGTCTACTTGGCTGAGTTTTTCGTTCAGATCTTCAAGCCCAAAAACATGACTACTAGATAATGATTGAGCCTAACCTTGTTAACTGCTCAGTTAACAAATGAATCTTTTCTTAGACATGCGTTTGAACCGAGAGAACCACATTAGAGCTACAGATGTAAGGTTGTGTTTATGTCTCTCAAAAATTATAAAATTAGTTTTCAAGCATGAATTAATAAATAAAAGCAGCAGGATTAACCGGGGGCGTGATTTGTTCTGACCAATTCATATCACCAGTGATGTATATATGTGCACATTGTAACTCACAAATAATAACCACAATAATGTAAGAAAACATTCATTATTTTTCGCGAGCTTATTACTCAAACAACACGTTGTCAGCGAAACTTACTTACATTTTTCTTCGAAAGGTGAGAAAATTTCGTCAAAGTAAATTTGTTTACAACCCGAACTTAAAATGCAATTCGTTAATTACATACCCTGTTTGTGTTTCATTTGTTCTTTAGCCCATCTTTCAAGTAACCTTAAAACTATTCAGCAGCTGACAAAGTATGCTTTTTTATCTCATGAATGGTTTTTTCAGTGGCTAATAAATCATCCCAAATACATTAACAATCCACTCTGCATCTCTGGTGACTCGTACTCCGGCATTACCATTCCTCTTATTGTGAAGGAAGTGTATCGTGGTATACTAATCTCTACTTTCTAACAACTCCAGAAGGCTCTTCATATTCGAAATTAAGGTATATATATATACCAGTCGATCAAGCGAGCTCGCTAACAACTCAACCCGTATCACATTTTGTAGAGGTTTAATCGATTCGGCACAATCAAGTTGGGCACGTTGAGGCTCTTCTTTTCGTCCACAACATTCGAAATACAGTGCCTTATCACCAAACTTTCACGAACAAAAGTTATCGAGTTTTAGTTTACAGGTAAAAAAGTTTCTATATTCTTGTTCCTTTTCTTTCCTCATGCATCAGACGTGGATTTTTTTTTCTTAGAATTTTCGTTTAATCTTCAAAAAACAGTCATATAATAACTAATCAAATTTTCTTTAGGATTTGTCTACAGTCCCGTCACGGAATGATTTCGTGAAGGATTTTAGCCATCAGATAAAATAATTGTAGACAATAACTGTATATCTGATGGCTAAAATCCCTCACGGAATCATTCCGTGATGGGATTGTAGACAAATCCTTTTCTTTAATACGTACCCATGAATAACAGCAGCCACACGTAAGGAAAATAATTTTATTTATTGGGTAAGAACCATTTAGATTAACTAATGACATTGTGTGTTTTGAAGTAGCAAAATATAGTTTTTCCATGTGCAGAATTATTGACTATAAGGTCATTGTGGGTCAAGATGTCAGGCTCACTTTTAATGGTCCCAACTACTGTGCAATAATGGTTTTCTTGTACCTACTCAACTCAAAAGTCCATATCTAATTATCAAATTCACACACACATTCATCTGAGCGAGTCAATTCAGTTTCTTCAATTCACCTGAGAAAAATATTGCTTGCTGCTTTCAGTTCTCATCTTACAGTTCTTCCTAGCTATTCATTTCACCAAGCAAGTGATCCATGGCAGCTTATGCAACCCTGCTTTCTCTTACAAACACCATAAACCAAATCCAGAATCACCCTCGCCCACCCATCTCCCTCAACAAAATAAAAATCGAACCTCTGATAGAAAAAGTTGGTTTCTTGCAAGATTTTCTTGAAAACTATACCATTGATGATGATGCAGATGATTTGGAGGGGCGTATGGTCGATGCGGCTAACGAAGCAGAAGATATAATTGAGTCCCACATTGCCGATCATATTGGTCATATTAGGGATCATATTAGGAATGAGTATGAAGGCTCTTTGTATCAATACATACAAAAAATGACGATGGAGGAATCAGATGAGGCTGAGGATATAACTGAGTCCCAAATTGCCCATCATATCGAGGAGGAGGCTCGTGATGAAGCTAACAAAGACGATAAGTCTTGTTTGTATGGAGAGCTACAGAAAGTGATTAACGATTTGGATTTCATGACAAAAGACGTGGCTGCTGCTATTAAAGACAAGGCCGGGAAAAAAATTGCTCCCAAGGATGACGCCACCACAGATGATGTCATGAACCACGTCATCCTTGATAAGCTGACCATCAGTCCTTATTCGGAGAGGGCGGGGGGTTCCAATAATGTCATGAACGATGTCATGGGTAAGCTTACCGATCAACAATCCAGTCGTTGGATCATTGCAATTGCGGGCATGGGGGGCATTGGTAAGACCACTCTTGCAAAAAATATTTATGAACATCCTCTGATTGTGGAACACTTTGATATGCGAGGATGGAGCACAATTTCTCAAGAATTTAATTCCAAAAGAGTCCTGTTAGAAGTCCTTCACTGTGTAGGGTGTATTGGGAGTGAGGACAACGAATATGAAGAATTAGGACAAAAACTGTATCAGAACTTAATCGGCCGGCGGTATTTGATTGTGATGGATGACATTTGGGGTACGGACGCTTGGGACGAGATGAAGCGCTTCTTTCCAAATAACAACAAAGGCAGCAGAGTACTAATAACCACTAGGTCATTGAAAGTGGCATTGCAACTGGATGGCCCTGGCTACTTCCAAATGATTTTTCTAAAGTTGGATGAAAGCTGGAAGAATGATGACACGAATGATGTCATGAACAACGTTATGGGTAATCTGGTCAATCGACAATCCACTCGTTGGATCATTGGCATTGCGGGCATGGGGGGCATTGGTAAGACCACTCTTGCAAAAAATATTTATGAATGTCGTCTAATTGTGGAACACTTTGATATGCGAGGCTGGACTACAATTTCTCAAGAATTTAATTCCAAAAGAGTCCTGTTAGAAATCCTTCACTGTATAGGGTGTATAGGGAGTGAGGAAAGCGAATATGAAGAATTAGGAAATAAACTGTATCGGAGCTTATTTAAACGGCGATATCTGATTGTGATGGATGACATTTGGAGTACGGATGCGTGGGACGAGATGAAGCGCTTCTTTCCAAATAACGACGACGGGAGCAGAGTACTAATAACAACTAGGGCATCGAAAGTGGCTTTGCATCTGGATGGCCCAAACTACTTTCAGATGCCTTTTCTGGAGGTGGACGAAAGTTGGAATCTGCTGCGTAGGTGTGTGTTTGGGGAAGAACAACAAGGGAGCCCTCCTCCGGAACTGGAAGCGATTGGGAAGAACATTGCCACCAATTGCAGAGGCCTTCCATTGTCAATTGTCGTCATCGGAGGACTCCTAGCAAAGTCTGAACAGACAAGGGAGAACTGGCAACGCGTTTTAGAAAATTTAAGCTCGACCGTGAATTTAGAGGAAGACGAGCGTTGCTTTAAAATACTAAAGTTGAGCTACGATCAACTGCCGGTCCACCTGAAGCCGTGTTTTCTCTACATGGGTATGTACCGGGAGGACGACTGGATTAATGTCTCCATGCTCATGAGGCTTTGGGTTGATGAAGGATTTGTGAAACCGGTTGCCGGTAAAAGCTTGGAAACAATTGCGAGAGTAGTGTACCTAAATGATCTTGTCCTCAGAAACCTAATTGTGGTTCGTGAGAGGGGCTGTAATGGAAGGATAAAAAGGTGCAGCATCCACGATCTGTTGAGGGACCTATGCATAAAGGAAGCCGAGAAATATAAATTCTTACGCACAACGCACGACTATCCTGACCACGACCAAAGCTGGTGTGCCCAATGCCGTATCAGCAGTAATCAGCCATCCGCATCAAAGATGAAATACACCATTTCTCCAGATGGGCCTTTTTTAGCAAGCCCACTCCCTGAAGCTGTGCAATCTGCATCACGTGTGCGAACTCTGATATCGGACTCTGATCAAATTTTACCATCATTTGTTCCTTTTAGATTGTTGAGGGTTCTGCATGGATACATAATAGGAGGAGAATTTTTTCATATGGTCAACTTGCGCCACCTGAACTTCAAATTTAAACAGAAGAAGCTTGAATTTCCTCCGGAATTTTACCTACTCTGGAATTTACAGACGTTAAGTATATATCATACATATAAAAGGAGGTGCGATTACGCTACGGTGCTGGACATCTGGCGGATGCCCCAACTCAGGCACGTCATGATATACGACAGGTTCCAGCTCACGGATCCTCCTCCGAAAGAAATCGAAAATGGTTGTTGGATGGTGTTGGAGAATCTAGAGACGCTGGAGAGAGTACTCAACTTCAAGTGCAATGAGGAAGTGGTTGAGAGAATCCCCAATATCAAGAATCTGGGAATAGAATACTACGACGAGGAGGAGGTGGAATTATCATCACCTGGCAGTGATTATGGTCTCAACAATCTCTGTCGACTACATAAGCTGGAGTCTCTTTCTCTCTCTATTTTTTCGAGGAAAAGTGATGAGGTGGTGATGATGATGACATTACCGGTTACACTCAGGAAGCTGAGTCTGAGTGGGATGTGCCTCGAGTGGGAGGAGATGGGGACAAAGATAGGCTCCTTGCCATCTCTCGAGACCCTCAATCTATGTGCCAATTCGTGCGTGGGGCTTGAGTGGGAAACAGCCGAGGGTGGATTCCAAAGCCTGAGATACTTGCAAATTGACAGCTGCTCTGATCTGGAACAGTGGAGGGTGGAGGCCACGCACTTCCCGTGCCTCGAGCAGCTTGAACTAAAGTACCTAGATAAGCTCAAGGAGATCCCATTGGGAATTGGGGAGATAACCACGCTTAGGGAGATCAAGGTGGTTGATTGTTCAGCCTCTGTCGTGCTTTCTGCAAGGAAGATATTAGAGGAACAACTGGAGTGCTTTGGGAAAGTGGATCTTCATATTACAGTTCCGCTAGTGGGCTTCCGCGAAAAAAGGGGGAAAAACGCAATCTCGACTACGAAAAAGAGATATAAATATTTCAGTGGGCTTCCGGACGGGTCGGGTCCCAACCCGTCCAGAAGTGATCGATAGAAGAGGATGAATGAGAGTAGAAGAATGGATGGGAGGATTAAGGAGAGTGAAAGGATTGACGACGAGAACATTCTATTTTTGGAAAGTATTTTGGTGGACTCTCTTAGGGTTGTCAAGAAACTGAAGACTTCGGAGAATTTCATGTTGCCTGAATTGGTTTGTGCCCGGAAATGTGTGTTTGATTCTGTGATCTGTTTTTGTGGGAGTGGGATTTAAGGAAATGGTGATATTATGAGTTGGCGTGTGGGGAAGTTGATCAGGTCGGGTCTTATGAAAAAGTCAACTCGTAATGTTTAATTTGGTTGTTGTATGGAGGTTCTGGTATGGTATGTATACTGTGGTGTATTTATTTGAGAGTTTGAGTCACATTTGAAGATTTTTTTAATTAAGTCTAACATGTTTTTAAAATTTGTTGATTTTAGTGAAACTAGTACGTAGCCCGTGCAATGCACGGGTAAATAATATTAAATAGTAATTATAAATTAAAGGTGAAGATAAACAATATTAACTAATAAGTATAAATTAAGATGTGAGTAACCAATACAAATAACAATTATAAATTAAATATGTGGAGTTACTTGTTACCGTATACAGTTTATTGTAAACAATACAAAATTATCTTGTATAAAGAACATAAAAATATATATATATCGATGTTCTACCGGGCAGTTCTGAATGGCATGAACACAATCTTCCACGAAAATATCGACGAATTTAGAATATTAATCGAATAAATAATGACAATTATTCGACTACCCTATCAACAACACACAATTCATAGAAAAATGATTATAGCCAGTGACTGAAAAAACACCGCATATAATATAAGTTAATAATAATAATAATAATTTGCTGAAGATTTGCTTTCAACGAAAATCACGTATGGATTCCTTTAATTTTGCTCCAAAAACTCTACAAACAATTTTAGGGCGATACTTAGGCTGTATATTCAATGAGTCTAGGATACCACCATATTCATTGTGTGTAGAATATGAGCAATCTCCTGTCATTTAGCTTAAATGCTCTAATGTTGCTTAGCTACAACATGATGCAAGATTCATGATTGNTTTTTTTTTTTTTTTTTCATTTTTTCATTTCACCGTAAATAGTGGTCTGCAATTTAGTTTTCGTTAAAGTTAATTTAGTTTTTTTTAAAATTAATCTCACAGAATAAAAAACACAATGCATTAAGCTTAAGTATAAGCACAAAGCTTGAGCTTCATGTTGCCTTAAATCCATAACCAACTCAAACTGTGGTCCAGACCACCATAGAATAAGAAATCTTTATCTGACGAAATAAATTTGTAGGATCAATACAAAAAAAAAAATCCCATAAAAGCAACATTTTTACACCTTGAACTATTGAATCAGTTAGTTGAGAAATACAACATGTTATTAAAAGGTAATACAACTATCATTTTGGTTCTATGTCGAGAGGCTGTAGAATAAGTTGACGCAAACATTTGCTTCTAGTGGAAGCCATAAGAATGCCTCTTCTTCCAGCAGAAATCAAGAAACATACGAAAATCCAACTCTTCAAAACAACATCGAGCAAAAAGTATACACTTTTTTGCATATGAAGTTATGAAATATAGCAGCAACCTGACAGATCTAAACATTATAAACTCATATTCTTGTAATTATTATGAAGCTCAAGTTCAATATTCGTGTAATTATTGAGAGTGATTTCTCACTTGAATTTACCGAGGAAAGTTAGTCAATTTCATATTCTGCGTTGACTATAGTATGGTGAGGTTTTCAAGTGCCTCTAGTTATTCAAAATTTCCATTAGAAAACGGGGTCAATACACTCTTAGCTGTCAATGAGCTGGTTTGGTCGCCGTTTTTCAGTAAATTGTAATTTTTGTTTGCAACTGCAACCCTTTGGCTACCTTCAAAGTACGTCGAGTAAGGGAATACTCGGCATACCTAACTTTCCATCCTGCAAAACATTAAAAGTTAATGCTAAGCGATGCAGGCGCATTCAAAACTGGATCATCAAGCAATGATCATCAAATAAGGAAAATTACAAAATAATAATCTTTTAAGTTCAACCTGATGACAGAGGTTAGGGCAGTTTTTTTAAAAGTTAATATATGCTTCTGTAATCGCTTCAATGTGTGTTATAAAGTGCATCCAATTGTGAGCGTAACTTTGTTAGGCGAACCACATGAAATTATTTGTAATAGTTGGCAAGTATTGTTGTTTTGTTTTTCAAAGTAAAAATATTATTTCAACGTAACAATAAAAATTAAATTAACCCTTCGGTGAATAATTTTATTTATCACTATATACAAAAAAGAACAACCAATTTTTCGGATGACAATGTAAGTAGAAACTATCAATAATCTAATCCTTGCCCAACCCGAAGATCATATGCTTTTACATAATATTGCTCTATTTCCTTTTAACATGCAACAAAGTTTAAGATTCAGTAGTCACTCATGGAATCACTGCAGTTACAGGCCTTATAGGCCATAAAGTATTAGAAAAACGTCTCTAGTAAATGGAAACTCGCCCCATGGGCGGATTACTATGAAGAAATTGCCCAGAATTTGCATCCCTATGCACACACAATTGAAGTTGACAACATAGGCTATACTCGAAAATTTGACAAAAGAACATTATGTATAATACATGGGGTTTAGCCTAATCCAAATGAAGGTCAGCTTTTGTATTATAAATAGGTTACATAATATGACAGACACCCCTTGAGCATTGTAAGCACTTATGTATATACCTACATATGATGTAAGATAGTAGGATACCAATCGGACTAAGGTTTGCAAACTATCAAGCATCACAATCAGTATCTCAAGAGTTGCATAGATGCATAGAGGTAAAAGACTAACTTGAAGCAGCATCATTGTCACCCAAAATTCTTCCCAGGAGTTTGGGGACTGCAATGTGATTCTTGAGCCTTTTTTTTTCTGAGAGGACAAATAGAAAATAAAATTCATTGCCACAGGAAAATGTCTTGATGACTATGAAAATGGCAAAAATAAATAAAATGACATACGGACCAGGTCGAGTAACATTCTTCTATCAAGTTGACATCCTCTATTTTTTCTTTCTTTCTTTCTTTTTTTTGTTAGGTTCCATAATAAATTCTATTTCTGCAACTACAATTCTATTCCTCAATGAATCTTCCTAGAATAAGTACAAATTCAACAATAATAAGGAAAGGGCTATGATGTGTGCGAATAATTGAAATTAACCTACTGTCCAACAATTAATATTGCTCCACAAAATTTCAGTAAATTACTGAACAAAATCAATCACCAAGTAACAAAAGGTCAAACGAAAAAAAAACAAAAAAAACCTTGGACTTTCTCCTTAGCTTCGAAGTAACACAACTCGATGGAGTCCGGAGGATGTATTTGCACTCGAGCAGGCATCCACGCAGCAGGCCTAGTGTCATAGGAAGCCAAATGTCAGCGATCATCGAGAAGGCCGCGATGGGGATTGGCAAACCCTAATCGATAATCGAGAAATTGATGCTAAGATTAGGTCAAAATGAATCAAATTATGCATCTGAGATAGAGGGATTTGGCTTACCATTTGATCGGCAAAGCCCAGACCAGAGAATTCGATTCGTAATTATATCGAGTAGATGATGAAAAATGAAATCAGAATTTGCGAATTTAGCGACTCCTGAACTCCTGAACTCCTGAACTCCTTGCTTGGAAACCGTGGGGAGTTATGGGAGATGCGTGATTTATGGAGATACAATGGCTAAAGAATTTGGGCGGATTTCGTGTGTTTGGGAGAGATATGGAGAACCTAATTTATGCGGATAAATACGGGAGGGTGCGGATTTTTAGGGAGACGTGTGAACAGATTTCAATTGCAACACGTAAACATATTTTCAACTGTAATATAAGGACGGTTTTTAAAAGATTGTCATATTCAGTAAGTGAACTTGGTTGACTTCGATTTTTTTAAAACTTTTTCAAAAGGATTTATTGACTTCTCTTTTTCAATATATATAGATTCGATTGGATAGTGGAACTTAACATGTGTAATTTGTGTCGAAATATCACCAAATTTTAAAAAATCCTAACAAATTATGCTTTCTTGAGTATATTTTTGTTAAAAGTGAATATTTAAATGTTACGGAAATGCTAAGGAGCCATCCGATGGTTCCGTTATGGAGCCATCGGACCCATGTGGCATCACATGGGACAAAAAAAAATATGGCCTACACTTACACTTTCATTGTCCCATGTGATGCCACAAGAGTCCGATGGCTCCATAACGAAACCATCGAACGCCTCCTTAGCATTTCCGTTAAACGTTATCTATTACTATATAATACGGAGAAGGAAAAATGTTTGAATAAATATTTCATTTCCCGCTTAAACATCATTTTTTCCCTCTCAAATTTTTCGAAAATTACCTGTTTTGGAAACTCTTTTTGAATTTTTTTCATTTATCCCGCCTAACTTAATTTGATTTTGGATGTGATTTATGGAAATCGGATTGTTTTATTTTAGGATAAGATTTGGTTGTTTTTTTGTTAAATTTGTTATAATTCCTTTTCTTTAGGATGAGATGAGATTTGTTACCATTTTTTTAAAATCCGATTTGGTACATTTTTAATTCACTCGCTTTTCCTTTTTTTTTCACGTTTTATTTCACTCGATTTTCCTTTTTTTTTTATGGGTTGAGATTTGGTAAATTTTGTATTTTTAATTTTTTTAATTTTAATTCACGTTTTTAATTTTAATTTCACGTTTTGAATTTTTTCCTTTTAATTTTTTTTAATCCGATTTTTTTTTTCATTTCAAAATTAATTTTAAACAATTCCACTTAATGTAGATTCTTAACAATATGGTCCATACATATCTGATTTTTTTTCTTATTTAAAAAAAATCAAAATTAATTTTAAACAGGTCCACTTAATGTGGATTCTTAACAATATGGCCCATACATATCCGATTTTTTTTCCTTATTTAAATAAAATAATTCAAAATTAATTTTGATATATTTTGAAAAGACTCGATTATTTTTATAACATATCCGATTTTTTTCCTTATTTAAATAAAATTATTCCAAAATTAATATTGATATGTTTTAAAAATACTCCATTATCTTAATAACATATCCAACATTTTTTACTTATTTAAAATAAAATAATTCAGAATTAATCAGATTTTGAAGAGTTTTAAAAAGACTCCATTTATCTTAATAACATATACGATTGTTTTTCCTTATTTAAATAAAATAATTCAAAATTAATTTTGATATGTTTTAAAATTATTTGATTTTCGTCTAAAATTTATTAAAATACTATTTTTATTTTTTTATTTTTTGTAAAAAAATGGATGAAAAAGTCAAATTCAAATTAAAAAAAATGCTATTTTGAAAAAGATATTTTGTAAATCTTAAAAATATGGTCAACGATATCTTAAATACAACGGGTAAATATGGTCAATGATATCATAAATTATTTTTTATATTCAGATAGTTCAACTTAATTGATGATTTTTTTTTCAAAAAATATGACGATCATATAATTTATCATATATCATATTTTATATTGGATGTTATTAGTTTGGTTGATGACATTCATTATATTCAAATAAATAATATATAATTTTTTTTATTTGGTTTTTCTTTTCTAACAATAATGAGATGTCAAACATAAATAACTATGTTTAATATAAAGTCTTAGAAAAGGTTTTAAGTAAAAAGCTTGTCCGTGCATCGCACGGGATACACACTAGTTCAAATATATTAGCATTGTCCTATAAATTGGGACAATGAGCGTCTTTCTATGTGGTGATTAGGCGCTAGGTGGCACTTCAATGACATGAAATTTAGGCGGCTCTTATTATTTTGACCTAATTCGTTGCTTTCTATCTAATGGCCATTTTGATGCCTTCACGCGTAAGTTTTAGTTGGCTAACTCGCCGTTAGATTTGTCTCATCAAGACCAGAGGCGGAGCCACCAATAGGCTAGGGTGGGCTCCAGCCCCATGTAAAATAAAAAAAAAATTATATTATAAGAGTTTAGTTATATAGCCCCATGCCATTTAATACCTAGCCCACATGTCCAGCCCAACAACAAAACCCAAATAATTAAAAGTTAAAACACCAAATCATTTATGAGAAAATTACCCCCTACACAATTATATTATTTCTTATTTTCCAAATTACGAATTCAAAAAATGTATTCCACTTAAATGATAGTCCATTCATAATCACGAGTTTTTAAACGTTTTTATTCCAGAAATGGCTCTTTGACTTTCATTTGAATTAAAAAGGTAACTAAACCTTTAGAAGGTAAATGAGATATTACTGCTTCTCAAAATCTATTCTCCCAAAACATGTCATTCTCACCGGCACCGTTCAAATTTGTTGAAATTATGCCAATTGGGTATAAGTTTGTGGCAATCTCTTGAAACTATGTATTTTTTAAGTTTGTTGAAATCTCTTGAAAATGAGTGTTTTTTTATTATTATTATTTTTCCCCTTCTATTTTTTCATAAATTCCGATATGTTGATTATGTTGGTTGCGGAAGTTGGTAAAAATTATTTCTCCTGTTTGTAGGTATGAGTTTGAAGAATTTATATATATTCATAATTTGGATATCATCAACTTCTATAAGAAGTTTATAAGTAGTATATTACAAGTTTAAAATTTATTTTATTATTTTGTTTCTCTACTGTTTAATTAGGGTCTATTGATATTCCATTGATAAAATTTTATCAATCATGAATGTGATGACATACAGTTTATTTAAAGTTTATACATACGAAATTTAACGGTTAATATTTGACCTTTTAAGAATAACTAGACAAACTTCCTCTCCCTATGGTCTTTTGTGTATTATATAAACAATAAATAAACTTAGTATAACTTTTTTTATATTTCATTTCATAATAGAAGTATTTTTTGAACAACTTATATAAAAAACATGAACAATTTATATTTTCAAACGGTTCCGAAAAATAAAATTTTAGAAAGTTTATCTACAATTGCACTAAATATGATAGTATTTTGAATTTAATTCGTTTTGGGGTTTTTTTATTAGGAAGTTCCACAATGACTATTGTGGGAGTGATTGGAGAGAGAAGATATTGATTGAATGTGTTATGTTTGTGGGAAACAAATTTTTGGAAATAATAAAAATGTCAATTAAAAAAACCTATCGTAAAAGTGTTATTTCTAAAACATGATGTGTATATTTCCGTACTTTAGCCATCATTTATTTCCTAAAGGCCCTGACCCCTTAACCCATATGTGATTAGCCAACAGCAAAAACCAAAATTATTAAAATTTAAAAAACCAACTCATTTATTCACTAAAGGCCCGAACCAATTATGCATAAAAAATTAAGCTAGTAACCTTCATTCTCTGCTTGCTCCTCATAGCCTGCCGCAGCCAAGCGCCAATCCCACCGCCACGGACCAGGATTCACTCCTCTCGCCGTTAATTCCACCGTCACGGCCTCGACTTCACTCCTTGCAGAGACGCCGCCCATCTGCCACCGCCCGACCCGATTCGCCACTGCCGCTAACCTCGTTGGTAAGGGTTTTCTTTCTAATTCTACTCCCTGGTTTGTACCTCTTTTATGTCTCAGTTGAACTAACTTATGAGAAATAGCAAGATTCCCTTTATCTAAATTTGCATTTTCCTTTTTCAAATACTTTTTTGTTCAGATGTAATTTAGTTTTAGGGTATTGGGATTTGGGGGGTTTTGTCCTTGTTAGTTTAATTTATAAAAGCTACTTAAAAAAATATAAAAGCAGTTCCACCACTTTTGACTTTTGCAATGTGGCCATTTTTGTTTCAATTTGATTATGTGATTGTCATGTAGTTATCAAATTAAGAAAATAATGATTCTATTTATTTGATTAGGGGTCTGTTGATGTTTTAGTTGATTTTTGTTTTGTTCATATTTAAGAAGTTGGACTAATTTTACATTTATGTTGTTACTTGTTAGTATTAGTTTTGGTGTTCGCTTGAAGTAATTAATAAGAATTCTGATTGCCCTTTGAATTCTTTTTAATATTTAATTTTTATTATTAGTTTGCTTATATCATAATTGATTAATTAACTATTTTTTGTTAACTTTATAGGTTTCAATCATAATGGAAGGTCAAGAAATGAAGAAAAGAAAGACTATCAATTTCTTTTTTAAACCAAAAGAGCATACGCCGACAAGCCGAGATTGTCCTTCAACTGATGATGTTGCCTCCTCTATTGATATAAGTTTACTTGTCGTCCGGTTCATTGAAAAAAATAAAAAATAATTAAAAAATAATATATATTTATTTTAAAAAAAGCCGAACCTCGAGTTCGGATTCCAGTTCAGAACCGAAACTGCCGGTTCAAAATGTATAAACTATAAAGTATTGTACATGAACCGAATTGGTCAAAACCACAGGCCAGTTCAAGACCCATGGTCAACGGGCTGGTTTGTGTCAGTTCGGCCTGAACCGACAAGCTGGGTCAACCTATGACCATGTCTACTCGGTTCCAATAATAACTACAATAATATGCAGCCCCCGGTCAAAAAAATTTCTGGCTACGCCCCTGATCAATACGGTCGTAATCACAAATTTGTAACTCAAGTAGATTTCATTTGCCTACTCAAGCTTTCGCCAAAAATAATTTGAGTTGTTCAATATTGGGCCTAATTTTGGTGTCGACTCACATTAATTTCAAGTATATGATCCAATGTTGAATTCTTCTCTTCGAAACAAT